GGGGGGGGGGGGGGGGGTAAATAAAGATGTTTCACTCACATCCACATTGGATTGGATCTCCGCATTGGCTTCGGGAGCTGGAACTGCACGGCTAACCCGATCGCGTGGTCGTGTTCTTCGATTTCCATCGGGAGCATGAGATTTACCACTTAATCCTCTTTGCCTGATAGATAAATAAAAATGCAATTTGCATCAACATTCTGAGAAAAAGATTTTGTTGGGTTAAGAAAATACAACTAGCAACCTTCTAGCTTCTTCCTCCCTCAATTTGACATCTATTTCTTTGCTGGGAGGGTATTTTGGTAATTCTGATGGTTCACAAGCGTAAGGTTCAGCGGTGAAGAACTGCACAAGAAGAGAAAGCACGAGTTAGAAAGTAGAGGAGCAGTCTCGGCTTTAGTCTAACTGGAAAGTGGTGGGCATCCTTGAAGAACAGAGAGGAGCTATACATATATGGCTTGCTTAGGAAATGTAAATATTTTGAGAACCGTAAGAACCAGCTATTCATGAATTATTCATCATGAACCAAAGGGCCTTTGGCCTATCGGTATATGGGCTTTGGCTAACCTCACCAAACATGAAGGGTGTGCGAGTTTATTAGTTGCATTTTCGGTATACAAATACCATATACTTTAAAAAAGAATATACCTAAATATTCAGTAATATTATTTTATGAATATCATGTATTTTTGTTATACATAATACATCATGAATATCTATAGATTCATCATTAATAACTCAGAATAGTGGGTTCTCATCATTCCCAAGTGAACATGCCCCTATATATATAGGCGAAGAATCATGTGAAAAGGAGAGTTAAGGTAAGAAGCGTGAGAAGGGATCTAGACCCTTGATCACCTTTAATCTCAAACCCATCCATGAATCACGCTTGATACGGGGATTGATCTGGTGCATCTCGGCATCTCATCCTAATGTGCATCCAATGGTAGAGATCCCTTCTTACGCCTCTCATCTTAACTCTCATTCTCACCAGAAGCCAATCCTATATATATAAAGAGAAAACCACAAAAAATTGAAAAACTGAGGAATACCCAGTAACAGTTCATCTATGCATACCGGTAACTTGTAAGCAATTTGTCCGGTATGCACATTGTGCATAGCGCACAAAAACCAAGAAACAACTTCAATTACTTGTATTGCACATGTGGATACCGTCCAGATGAATGGTTATCAGGGTGTTCCTCAGTTTGTTAATTTTTTTGGGGGGGGGGGTTTCCCTAAACCTCCCTCTGAACATTGGGAAATGAATAACCATAGTTATTCATGAATATCATATTTTCATTATAAATAATCATCTTGATGAATATCCATCACGACATTCATCAAGAATAATGCATAAACAGTTGGTTCCTAAGTTCTTAAGATATTTACGATATATATATATATATATATATATATTGGGAAAAGATATACATGTATATATAAGGGTGAGATTAGGAGAGAATGCAAATGCAAGATGTACTCACATTGCTATTCAGGGCCGAAGTGGCAGAGCCACGCTCATTAGGATCAATTGCAAGAAGTCTCTCTAGTAAAGGTAAAGAAGCAGGTGGAAAATCCTTGAACGTTTCTGCTGTACACCGCTTGTACGGATGTTGTGGTTTGAAAAGTGTCGCATTTGGCAACCGGTGCCTCTTCCAATATTCCTCCGATGGAGACCCACATAATCTGAATATCTTGTGTAGTTGTTCAACCTAAAGTCACACATCCAAATCGAGATCAAACCCATCCACATATATGATTTTAATCCAACATTATTTCACAAGCCGAGGGTTTTCACATAAACAACCACTCTACTCTTTGGGGTAAACGTCAGGTCTGCGAATCTTACCCTCCCCAGACCCCACCTCCAAGTGGTATATTGGTTGTTGCCATAACCTCGATATAAAATCAGAAAGAAAAAAAATATATATATATATATATGGGGTCCAAAAATGGATCTCTAGGGACTCTTAGGGCCTGTTTTTTAGTAGTTTAATGGTACTCAGCTTATTTGGTCAGCTATACATGATTGTTTAGTAGTGGCTTAATGATATAGAAAGTGGTTATTAAGTAAGCTTCTAGGGTGGAACTTTATGCAGAAGGCCAAGTTTTTTTTCTAAACCTGCTCCTTCCATCTATGAGAAAACCTTCCCAAACAAAAACTTTCTCAATCTATACAAGACAAATTAATTCACACAGACAACTTTATTCATACAAGACTTAATGAAAAACCAACCAACAACCCCTTATTGTCTAAACCAAATCAAACAAACACAGTACCACACCAAGAGGTGGGGATCTTGGGGTGGGATTTACACAGACCTAATATCCACCCCAATAAGTAAAGCGGTTGTTTTTATTGATAATATAATCAAACTAAAGGGTTTCTTTCTACCTCTGTCCGTCCTGGCAATATTGGCTTCCCGGCAAGAAGCTCTGCCAAAATGCAACCAGCACTCCACAGGTCAACACCAACGCCATAGTAAGTCGCACCAAGAAGAAGCTCTGGGGGTCTGTACCAGAGGGTAACAACACGGCTAGTCATTGGTTGCTTATGTTGTGGATTAAAAAAAGAAGCCAACCCAAAATCAGCTATCTTGAGAATTCCATCGTTGTCGATAAGTAAATTTGAGCCTTTAATATCACGGTGTAGCACACCGTTCTCATGGCAATGCTCGAGCCCAGAAAGTAGCTGTTTCATGTAGCACTTGACCTGTCCACATGAACTTTTTCAGACATATAAAACCCAAAAGGCAGTCATTTCTCTTCCTAATTTCCGAATGATAGTAAAATAAAGCGAAACCATTTTAGAAGACACAAAAAACTAAAGAAGATACGAGAATAACCATTGTGATTTTCAAAGATGCAAACAGGAATAGCAACCAAACCAAGCAAGCGCAGTATATCCCACCCGGAGATGGGTTGACCTCTATCTTGAACAGTAGAGCGGTTGTTTCTAAGTAGACCCACGGCTAGTGAGAAGTGTGTGAAAGTGAAAAAAAACGGATACTCCTCCATCCCCGAAATAAGTGTCCACAATGAGAAGGGCATACAATTTTAGAAAAAGTGTAATTATTACACTTTTAATGAAGTAAATGACAATTTTACACTTAATAATAGAGGGTGTAATTAATTTCTTTATCTCATAACTAAGGGTAAAATGGGAAAGTATGCACTTATTTTTTAGAAGTGGAAATTTATTTTGGGACAGACTAAAATATAAATGTAGACACTTATTTGGGACAGAAGGAGTACTAAGAAAAGATGCAAATAGAAGCAAGATTGTATTTAAGGAGTATTAAGAAAAGATGCAAATTAGAAGCAATATTGTATTTCATGAAAGTTAAAAAGTAGATTCCTTGTGTTAAAAAGGTTCATTCCTTCATCATCACTGGTATATTCTTGACTTCTTCACAAATCCATGGTTGTTCCCCATGGGAAAGAATCAAAATGACCTCACACATGGCACCATAATTGTCAAGAATCAAGATAAATTCTGTAATTGTGTTCTTAAATTTCTAATTAGGACACCTAATCGCGATTAAGAAACATTTTCTAGCTTCCCAGAAATGAGAAATTCTACTACAACCAAGAACAATAATACTGTAAATTATTTCCTGATTTTGACTTTTCACGGTCAACATCGTGCAAGATAAACTAGAATGGTGTAAAACAGAGAATTTGGCAGTATTCTAAACCATTGGAACTTTAATTGAAAGAAAAGCATATTAATGGATAGCATCTTATGGACAAAACCATTAGAAAACACAATGTCGGAAAGCACAATGAACGAAACCATGAAGCAAATACAACCATACAAGCCAGAAACAATAAGACAAATACAACCATATCATAGATATCAATATGACAACTAAGCATAAAATCAATTAAATCACTATGTGTGGGGTCTTCACCAAAACAACCTCCCTAAATGGGGTTTACTGCTTTTGTTTGATTTGGTTTTACAAACCAGAAATTAGAAAACATTTTGAGACCCCGATCATATTTGGCAACCATAAGCTAACTTATTTTTTGGGCTTATTGAAAAAGCCCCATTTGGTTATCTATTTTGCCAAACATAGATCATGTCAATCTTAATTGGGGAAAATATCAAAAGGGGTTTTGAAAGTTACCTGTGGCTCTGTAAACTTGATACCTTGAACGGCAGCAAGGCCAGAGAGATCATGCTCCATATATTCGAATACTAGATAAAGACTACAAGACATTCTTGATGTAACCAATCCTTCAAGCTTAATAATGTTGGGATGATTTAGCTTTTTCAGGATAAGAATCTCTCTTGCCATGAATTTGACACTTTCTGGCTCTAGATTATCAAACCTAACCTTCTTCAATGCAACTATCTTCCCTGATATCAAATCTCTGGCCTTATATACATTGCTATATGTTCCTTGCCCAATCTATCATCAATAAAATTAAACAATCTCATAGTAACTTATCAATCACATGAATAGAAGAAGAATTTTATCGATTCTAGGGTTTACCTTATCGAGTTTCTCGAAAGTATTCGCGAGACGAGGCGTCCAATCCTTGATTGCATCGCCAGCAACGTCGCACAACCATGACGGCCATCCTTGAGAGGTCTTCAAGGTATACTGTGGCTTCGGCCGACGACGGTCCGGTGCCGGAACTTCGCCGATTGATTGCCTGATTCGGTCGACTACTCCATCCTTTCTGTTACCCCCAACTTCATTTAACGACACTTGTTTGACGTTTTCCGCGGCGGAGGATTGTTCTCCACTCCGGCGACGGCTAGTTGACTTTGGGCGATGATCTGGAGTGGCTCTCTTAACGAGCACACATCCCATTGCTTATTAAGGTGAAGTTAACTTCCCATCAACGGGAAAACCAGGTAGCTGGTGACTGGAAAACCGCTAGTGGTGTTGTTGAGTGCATTGAATGTTGAGAATTAATGGTGGAGGTGGTGATGGTGGTGGTGGGTGGTGGTGCTGAAGCAGAAATTGTACTGAATTTATTAACCAAAAATTGCAGAGAGCAGAAAATGGTGGGTCAGTTGAAGTGAACGGAAGAGAAGAGAGAGGGAAGGTGTTTAGATTTATGAGGGTAGACCAGAGGGTAAAAAGGCAGTCAGTTTTTTAGATTTCATAATTGGGGAAATTTACGCAACCACCATTTCATTGCTTATTTACCTCTCAATGGTTTTTATTAAAAATAATCTCTAAATTATTAAAAGATGAATCGTGTTTAAAAGGCTTTTGAAGATAATTTTAAAAAAATATCGATATTAGTATCAAATTAACTATTTAAAAGTTCTTGTTTTATTATGTAATTTTTTTAATTTATTTATTATTATAACTTAATTTAAGTTTAATAATAAACTATTTTTTTTAATAATATAATTTTTTATAAAGATAATAATTAAGTATTCTGTTAGAAAACAATGATTATCCTAATTATATTTTAGATTTTTTTTATTTAAAATGAATTGTTTATCCAGTATTTGATTATGTTTATCTGCAGTTACTTATACGAATTCGAACATGAAGCTTAATAAGTTGTACTTATGTAAAATATACTTGTAATCTTGAATTTTAAGTAATATGCATCAATAAACAGTTTTTATGTATAAAAAATAATTTTTAAGAATTTTTGTCAAATGTTTTATAATATAGTATAGAAATTCTTATTAGTAAAAAGATTAAATATTATTTCATACTCATGAGTCATATGTAACCATTTTTAGGAATTCTCCATATTTGGAGAAAATTTTATTCTCTCTCCTACTTTTTTTTATTTATTTATTAAGGAGAGGGTTTTGGAGAATCTGTTAGAAGAAAAAAAAATCCTCTATTTTAGGGGTGTTGTTGGAGATGCTTTATAAGGAACTAAAGAGTCATTTATCAAACGTTTACTCGGGTAAGTGACCACCAAGTCATTTTACCTTACCGGATGAATATGATAAGGATCAAGAATCTTATCCGGTAAGAGCGAGACAATGACCAAGGATCTTACCCGGTAAGTGAAGGCGACGACTCTCACCATGGTAAACACTTACCGGGTAAATTTTTGCATACGATACCGTTTTGGTGGACTAAAATCTTATCCAGTAAGTAAATGATAGTGTTGAATTTACCGGTAAGCGCTTACCGGGTAAGTGTTTGGTAAACGGCCCCTAACTTTTCATACTTTTTTCTTGTCACGCTACTTCCACGTCGTTAAATTAAAAACCTACATAAATCTCTATAATGATCCTCCGCCATTTAATTTGGTATCCCATACAACTTGAGTCTTATAAATCCCAAATTCTATCAACGTGGGAGGATCAGCCCTTAAACACCCAAAAGAACATGTTAGCCGATAATTTTGAATCTAACTTAAAATCATGATCAAAGTTATTGGTAGTCCACAACTTGAGACTTATAAGGGGCACGAAATCTCAATTTCTACTGATGTGGGACGAGTTGCTACATATTGCTAAACGTGTTTCCGCCTATTAATTTCCTCCTCACATATACATTAGCATCTAGACTCACTTTTAGCAATTCCAATCCATAATTTGACCTAATTCTGACTTAAATAGGAGTGCATATAGTAACGCATTTTTTTCAACAGCAATACTTTTATTAAAAAAAAACTATTAAAATGCCAAGAATATACATTAAAAAAAATTATTAAAATGTCATTCGAAAAGAACCAAGATTATTATACATGAACTTAAAGGATGTGGGTGTCTTATAAGAACTCTTTTTAATGGTAGTTCTTGTAATATTCTCTGCGTTTACTTATAAGTATGCATACATTTAGCCCACAACTCTAATTCCGATAGATTCTCTGTAATTTTTTTAATTTCATACAGATTCTCCGTAATCAATAGAGGACGTTGTTCATTGCAAATTGATATTGCATTTTGGGTGTAGTCGTTACTCATATAATTCGTTATCTAATTTCCCGTATCCAAACTCGAACCTATTACTTTTTCGATAACAATTGGTGTTCAGTCTCTTAACCAACTTTTACGTTGACTAATTTTATATAGCTCTAAAGATTACAGATATGGAAATTCCAAAATGGCTACGAGGGAAAAAAATGAACCTATTAATTTGGCAACAGATTTGTTGGATGTATTCTTGATTTATATGAATGACAACGGGCCGGTTATTGGTATCCCGTACCGAAACCAATAAATAAAACTGTCCATGTAACCGCCTCGATCCCTGTTGGGGAACCCGTTAATGGTAAAAAAAAAAACTTTTCCGTTGGGTTCCTCATTCGTCGTTGGTTATGCCCGAACCGATTTGAAATAAATTACAATATGTTAATTTTCACAACTAAAAGTAAATTACAACTTTTTAAAGATGTAAGTTTAATATCTCAAACATAATCAAACCAATTACAAATAATATATTAAATTACAATATAAAAGTAAACATAAATTCAAATATCATACAACTAACATCATGATTTCATGATTAGACAAATAAACTAGATTTTTTTCATGAGCTTTATTTGGGATGTTGAGTTAAAGTGAATAAAAGTTTTCTAAATTTTAAAGTTAATTATTTCTTTTAATAACATTATAATATATATATATATATATATATATACACATATCGGGTCGGACCGGGTCGGAGATCACTGTCCCCGCCCCCGACTCCGCTAAAATTCCCGAACATGTTCCCGATCCATCCCGCCCCCAAAACCCGATCCGAAAGTTTCGGTTTTCACCATCGCTTTCAGGTCTTTTTTTTTGCCATCTCTATTGATTTAGCGTCGATTTTGTGAACATGGTGAGATCTACCTAACTAGTATTTTGAATGGTTTTGAATTTGTTTTTTTAAAACCGTATAGACTTTAGAAAACCATCGTATTTCAGCATAAAAAGAAACAACCAATTGAGCACTTAATGCAAATTGCATCAGATAAATTCAAAATAAACGCGGTAACCAGATGTAACAGACAATACGTCTTTAAACATGTTGTAATTTGTAAACACATATATGTTTTTAAAACTGAATGATGAATAATCGACTGAATTAAACTGACAAGATATAAAATCTGACACAGTATCAAACGTCGGTGTATTAATTTATTTGTTCTGGTTTATCGATTATTGCTTTTTTTGTTTGGATTTTGGTTACTCCATTTAAATTTTATTTCTAAAAATAGAAAGTCTTTGAAATCCAAAAGGTTGATTAATGTGATTGTGTATTGACTCAAGTCAACCATGGAAAAGTCAAAGGAGGAGACAAGCAATAGGACTTGTACTTTTCTTGTAGTCTAACTTGGAGGGTATGTGTTGCCACGTCGCCATTACATTATCTGGCTTTTTGTTGGGAATTTATATTATAAATAGTAATAAAAATTATTTATTTTTACATAAATGCTTAATAAAATCAGGTATCGTAGAGTTAGGGGTGTTTGTGGTCTGGTTTGAACTAGATATGGGAATTGATCCCGACTCGTCGGAGAACCAGGTCCACCCATCTTGGCCGAGGATGGGGATTCTCCGTTAATCCGGGTTTCGGGACGAGGACGGGGATCCCTGTTTGGCTCAAACTTGGAACAGTGACGGGTATCGCACTCCCCGCCCCGTCCCATACCGGGTATATATCAATTAATAAATTATATTGTATATTATTTATTTCTATTAAATAAATAAATAGTAATTTCTATTTCAATATATTTTCGATATTACTGGACATGTTTTTGGATATTACTCGATATGTTTTGGTACATGTGATGTTAAGTTTTTTAGATTAAATCTAATTTCTTTTGGTTTCCGATTTATTAATTATTATATGATGATGTATATTTTTTGTATTAATTTTTTTTTGGTTTATTGGGAAAATGTGAGATTTAAACATGTGTAGTGTCTCACACATTTGATTTAACAAAAACTTACACAAACGGAAAAAAATAATACCCATTTTCCCGTTGAGGATCCCCGTTCCATGTAGGAAACGGAGATGATGATCCCCGTTCCATATAGGAAACGGAGATGATGATCCCCGTTCCCTGTAGGAAACGAAGATGAGGATGTGACCAAATTCTCCGATGGGAAGGGACAAAGATGGGAGATTGGGGTCCCCACCCCGTCCTCGTCCCAGTCCCATGCCTAGTTTGAACGATTCAATACTTTAAACCACAAACTAAACTATAAATGGTAGTTTAGGAAATCTTTTAAACCCAATGGTTTGATAGTATATGATCAAACTGTTCAAACCTGATAATAAAAAAGTGGGTTGGTTTGACTGGTTTAGACGGTTTGAAACTATTACGAGCTTTAAATTAAAAAAAAAAACATTACGTATATCTCCAAAATGAAATTTCTATTAATACAGATTCCTTTACATAAATATTATAGTGGATTATGCAATAAACATTTCTCTCTAAAATAAATAAACATGGAGTAAATAAAAAAAAAAGTTAAAAAAGTCCATCAAATTTGAGTTTTCTCGAAAACAATATATTGAACAAGTCGGAGAACGATTTTGAATTTTGGGTTTTTATTTTTTACGAATTTTGGAATTTTACTGATTTATGAAACACGGAGAATTGCGAAATGAAAACTAAAAACTTAATGTTTTTGACGGGCTTTAATTGATTGAACCATAAAAGTTGAGCCTACAATATGAAAGCTAAATATGGTTAATACATATATATGTTGGCGGTCAGTTTGATCAAAACCGTAGACCGGATCGGATCGAACGGTTTGGCTATTTTTTAGACCAGATCGAACAGTCAAAAATGGTCCGGTTTAACTTGGTTCGACCGGTTGTGCAGTAGGAGAATCGATTATTAGAAGAAATTCATTAATTTACTGCTAATTATGCGTTGATCTTGATTTTATAAACTAATTCAGTTAAAAGTTATGACAATTGTTTATAAGTATTTGAGATGTATTGTGCAGTCTAAGGGGCTTTTTTTTACCTAAATGCTTACACGGCAAGCGTTTACCGTTATAAATCAACACTATAATGTATTTTATGGATAAGATC